TCCAAACCAGTGGAGAGGGAAGTAGAGCATGAAGAAAAAATTTTTTTCTTTTTAAACAAGTGATATAATTTTCACTCAAGGCTTGAATGTAAATTAAGCCTATGGCTTAAAGAATTGTGGAGTCACATCATACCAGGAGTGTTGATAGTGAACAAGCTTACCTGAAAACCACAGTTCTCTGGAAGCAAGCATCGTGGCTCCTCTGAAAGCAGTCTTTGCTGTAGCTCCTGTCTAATTCCCTGTGTGGAAAGTTGTAGTGATGGCATTTTGTAGCCCCAAATTTGCATCTTTATACTCATATGGATAATTAATTGTATAGTCATGCTTTTTGTCAAAACTTTTCCTGAGCACAAGAACTAGTCACTATTTTTAAAAGTAAACTTTTATCAGTTAGTCTACTTTATTTGTACCTGCAATTTTCTTTTTCTTTTTGTTTTTTTTCTTTCCCTTGGTTTGGTTTGGTTTTTTGAAGGGCTTTGCTCTTAAGACTGCACTGTTTCAGTGTCAGCTTGGTTAAGAATCAATTATAGGCTTATGTTAGAATTTTTTGGAAGATAATACACAGGCACAAAATGCCTTAAAATTGAAATACTTAAAATAAAAATAGGAGAAACTGAGAACACAAGGTTGCTGGTTTTGGTTGTAAGCCCTGATCCTTCTGTAGGAGTTATGGGAGCATCTCCTTCTTCAGTTCAGGCACTGCTGCCTGTGAGAAAAGAAGGACTTCAAGAGAAGGGCTGAAAGCTGTCATTGAAGCAGTGAGGTAAGTTACTGAGAGGGTGGGGTTTGTGTTGGGTTTACTTTATTTTTTTTAATATAAATTCTCAGTGATTGCTAGGACTTTAATTTTTTTCCAACCTTTCTCATCTTTGTAATGGATAGGAACCCCTGCTATTTTTACATCGCTTTCCTTCAGACTAATAAAGCATAAGCTGTAAACAGTGGGAGTTTTCACTGAGCTGAGTTTGTGCTGCACCAATCCCTGTGGCAGCAGACATTCCCTAATGCATAATGATATGGTGACCCTGAAACAGTGATACTTAAACTGATAGTTTCAGTACATTAGCAACTTTAGAAATAAATTTAGTAAGCAGACATTTTTTGGTCTTAGCATAGAAAGTAAATGTAGATGATACTAAAGATGATACTTGGTGGCATCATAAACATCTTACAGCTTTTGCTTCTTTTAAGAGTAGGCAGGTGTGACAACTATATAGCAAGAAATATTTTGTAGTAATAAAGGTAGGAAGGGCAAGCAGTAGAGATCTGCAACAGCCTTTTCAAGGACCTCAAGTCTTGTGAAGCGTATATGATGGAAAGTATCTATTGAGATCTATATTATGCTCCAGAAACCTGCGATAATGCTTCCTCCACATTTGCAACTTTATATTTGGCCTCTTTCCCTACCCATCAAGTCCAAGTGAAGGAAACATGTTTGCAGAATTTGGCAAGTGAGCATTTACTAGGAATACTCACAGCTTCTTGTTGCTCCCCAAAAGAAGCTTCTGAGTTTATAAAGAACTGAAATCTCAATCTAGAGCAGTTTCAATACCAGCATAAGGATGTAATTGATTAAATATAGATATAGAATTCAAACTCAAAGTAAATGTTTACTGCTGCTGAGATCTCTCCCTTAAAGTAGCTTTTTTCCTGCCACTATTCAGAGCTGACCATATTAAATTTTCATTTAAGTATCTCCAAACATGGGAAAAATATATAGTATACAGTTAACAAATAACACTTTCTAGTTAGAGATTATTTAGATTTTATAAAGTAAGCATTTTATTCTTTTACAAATATATTCATCTTTTGTTTCATTCTTAGCAACAAGAAAAAGTGATTCTTTACCTTGGTTTTCTTGCAAAGCTGCCCCAAAAGTGCTTTGATTCATAAAATGACTAGGCCAGCCAGAAATAGTAACTACAGCCATGTCCCCAACTCAGGTATCAACTTGGGTTCTAAGGGCTGGATCGAGCCCTAAGCATTCCCAACTTTTTTGGTTTTTTTTTAATTAAATCTATAATTAGATTTAATTATAAGCAATTCCTTCTTCCAGCTTCTTAAATTGACAGTTTTAAAGGGAAAGGTGGACTCCATTTCAGGCAGCATTTTTACCTTATTCTTGGCACAAATTCACACAAATGAAGCCTTGGTACAGAACCAAGGGCAGCTGCAGCTGAAATAAAGCAGAATTGGTGAAAGCCTACCCATGACAATAAGACGTAGAATTTCAGAGGAAACACTGGGCACCCTTTATATCATAAACAAAGGTCTGAAATGAGCAGCCAAAAGTAGTTGTTGCTCATGTTTATCTCAAGGCCTGATCTAAAATAATTAGTTGCATACGAAATGGATCAATTATATTTATAAATAATACATATTTAAACAGAAAATGAAGAACATATTCAGAGGTATTCTTCATCATTTAACTTAATGAATTTTTGCAAACATCCTTTTAATCTTAGGTATTACATGTTAAGCAAGTAGTGATACAGTTCATGTATCACTGTAACACAGCCTCTTTGCATTAGTCTTGGCATAGTTGAGACTAATTATGTAACCACCTTGCTGAGATGTGGCTAAACAGTCTTGCTTACATTGGTGGTAAACTCAGCTTGTGGTTTTCTTCTTTTCTGGCAAAGTGAAGTCACTTGTACAAGAAAGAGCCTTTGAATACTAAGTTACAAGGAAAGCTTTTTTTGGGTTGATGGTAGAAGGGGAATATTTAAGAATGAGCACACGTAGTCAAGAAAGGAAAGCAACGCTAGACTTCTGTATAATTTCTTGAATTTCTGTATATGAAAAAGTGCTGTCAGATGCAAGAGAAATATTGCATTAAAATTGAGATACAGCAAACCAGTGCTAAGATCGGTTTTCAAGCTCCTTACCATTATGGGAAGAAGTATTCAGGAAGATAGGAATGGTCCTAGAACAACTGTAAGGGCAGGAGCAGCATAATCTCGATCTTGTTCTCTTGAATGTGGAACCTGTCTCACCAAAGGGACATGTGAAATGGCCAGGGAGTGCAATCAGTGTTTCAGAACATGTTGCACAAATCGATTACGCTCAGGTTGTGTTCTGATGGATGGCAAAGGGAAGAACCTGAGACACGTTCTGTTTTTTTTCAGTGTTAGCAGATAAATGTATTTTATGTCGGATCCAATACAATCATTCTCCATGTCTCCTCACCCCAAATCCACTCATGAGAGAGAAGACCCATAGCAAGTACTTAGGGGAGGTATAAAGTGAATGCGATCTGCTATTTTTTTCCCAGTTCTGAACACTTTATTAGAGACTGTGTGAACTGGAAATTGTTCCTTGATCTTTGGTTCTTTTGGTTCTTGATGCAAGAGTGATCAGTTTAACCTTGTTTTTAAGCAGCTTTTACTTTCATCATGGCAGAAATGTCCTGCATCGGCGAGTTCCACAACTTCTTTTCAATGTTAGTTAACTTTTACAACACAGGGTGTCTTAAATCTCAGGCTGTAAGACTGTGATTATTCACCATCTGCATGAAATGACATGGTGATGTGTTTTAGTCCAAATAATCTTTTTAAGACTTTTTACAGGAACAAGTATTGCTTGTAAGAAGTCAAACTTCAAAAGGCTGTGCATGATGCTACACACCATTTGACCTTTGGGAAGTTTAACTAAAGACATCCTAAAATAAATCTCAATCTATAGCAGCATTTCAGATTAACTGTACTATCTATCTTTTGCTTTATTCAGGTTAATTCAATCTTTGGTTATTTAAATACACTCACCTTATTCCCGCTTTTGATAAGAAAAGTTGTACTTTATGGTGGGATTGTTTGTAATCAGTCCAGTCAAAAGGTATTTTTCTTTTAAGATCTTGAATAGTCATGAGAAATTTATTGCTCCAAAGTCCCTTCAGAAATTCCACCAACTGTTCAGAGTCTCTCTCCAACCCGCACCATTCATTCTGTAACTTTAAGTTTTTCCCCTATGCCCCCCCAAATGCAGAAGAACTTGTAATACCCCACTTCATGTTTGTAGAAGGAACGAGAGACTTTGTTAATGCCCTCTTATATCTAAGGAAACTTAGACTTTTTACTTCCATGGAAGTACACTGAATATTAGTATATAATAAAGAAAAAAATTAGCTCTGTGGTTCTGGTGAAGCTAAAGGCAACCCAAGACCTGGAGATGAGAAGACTCATTTAAGAGAGAGATGGCTTTTAGTTTCCAAGGATTGTTTTTCTTTTTATTGAAAGCAGCCTTTAGGGAAAAACTGCAGTAATCTTCAGCCCAGTTTTCCAGTTCCCCCTTCTTATTCTGAGTGTGGCCTACCATAATATTCATGGTGTGAGTTGGAAGTGATTACCCATAGAATCGTATATCCTGAGTTGGAAGGGACCCACAGGGATCACTGAGTCCCGCTTCTGGCCCTGCACAGGACCCATCCCAAGAATCACACCATGTGCCTGAGAGTATAATCCAAACACTTCTTGAACTCTGTCAGGCTTGGTGCTGTGACCACTTCCCTGGGCTGAAGCACTGTTCCAGTGCTCAACCAGCGTTTGGGTGAAGAACCTTTTCCTAATATCCAACCTAAACCTCCTGACACATGCTGTCACAGAGGTCATACAGCCATGAATACTACAACGCTGTATGCACTGCATGGGGCACAATCTAGCTCTTTGCCTACAAACCCAAAGTTGTCGATTTTCAAACTAAGCACTTTCAATAACCATATATGTAGAACAAGATGCAACAGGACCCAAATAAACTTCAGACACTGTTCAAAACTTTTTGATTGCAATCCAATCCAGTATCTCTTTCCTGTCTTCTTCTATGTATTTTACCTTTCTCTACCCCAAACAAATAAACTAAACAGGCCAATTTGAGCTGATCCCTTCTACTTCCATCAGTGGTGAAGCTGTGAACAGCAGTACACATTAACACCACAGCTGAACACCATCACTGGTATAAGTCCAACAGGTAGCACCTTGACACCTGAATAAAAGTCTGTGGAAGGACCCAACCCAGTGTGTGTGTCCGACATTCAGCAAGATGAAACTCTTCAGATGTCTCATCTGCACACACACTGTGCCACTTCAGGCATTAGCTTGAGGTGCCTGTGTTGCAAGCATAGCAGCCCTAGGTTTTCTCTGTAGTTAACAGAAGACAAGTTCCCGCAGAGGATTCTGACAACCAGAGACTTGGAAAGCTGGAATAACCATAGACCTAACTACAGCAGTGCAGACATTTGTATACAGCTGGACAGGATAAATTTTAGTTTAGGTTCTTGAGTTGTGTATTACAGTGTGGGGGAGTTACATAAAGTCAATGATTAGCGTTAACATAAAGGCCTACTTACATCCTTAGTCAAGAGTTTTCCTCTGTGTGGTTCTAAATTTCCAGCTATTTGCACATGTATTTCCATCTATCTCATGTGAATTGTTTGATGTTTAAACTGGTTCTGGAGGAAGCTGAGTTTTCTTTCAAAGACAAGTCAAATAGATAATACTTGAGTGATTTCAATTTCAGGAGCAGGGAGAGACTGGACTAACAAGTTCTGCAGGTTACCTTTGCCAGATCAGCTCAGGCTGAGGAAACCTGGGCAACAGCAATAGCCACCCACAGGGGAGCAGGCTCCACCCAGCCAGATCAGTTCCTCTGATACATAATCTAGAGAATAAAATGAAAGCATGGTCCCGAAAGCTGATATATACACATAGGTAAAGGTAGCTCTTGAATCAAGCACACTTTTAAGAGTAAAAAAAAAAAAAACCAAAACCAACCAACCAACCAACCAAGGAAACAAAAACCCACCAAAAACCCCACCAAACCACTTTATTCTGTAATTGTTTTTTACTCAAGTTTTCATTCAGCAAGGAACAGTTTTCTGCCCATGATAATTTCGGCAATTCTCTTATTTTACACTAATGGAGCTCTTGTCATATTACAGCTGGCATAACCAGAACTCTTTTTTCCCTTGTTCCATTTAGCAACCTAGGCAGACATCCTTAACAAAAACATCTAATAAAGAAGACACTACAGAGCATGCAATCTTATTCTAGTTTACAGAATGAAGCACATGGCACATTAGAGTACTCCTTTCCAAAGGGATTACTTAGTAAAAAAAGGAAAACAGCACCTATCTTAAAGTGTATTCAAGTGAATATTTTCAAAGGTAAATTATGGGACTGCAAATTAAGATAATATCATTACAGCAGAAGAGGGGAAACCTTATTTTAAAAATGCTTTTTCCTGTGAAATCAAAGTTGCTGCTTTTTCATGATCTGTTGGAAGATAATCATCCTTAATACTCAAATCTGTTATGAGACAGTGTTTGTCTAAAGGTCCAACTGCTTTTTAAGTGAATCTTTCACTTTAATTAGTTTGGTAGCCTACAGGGCATTATTAGGTATTATGATGAAGCTAACAATGAATATGGCTTTCGTACGTTGATAACATCATTAGGTTTCACACAGGCACTCTGACAGCTGAGGGAGTTACAATCCTGCAGATACATTAAGTAATACATCTTTGCACACACAGATCACAGATCAAATTATTGCCATAGCACGAACTTGTTCCATTATGTATTTTAAATAGGACAATTAGGACATACCTGTGCTGTGAAACAGACAGCTACCCAAACCAAGTAGACAGTTTTTACTTAATATCACTAAACTTGGAGGTAACTCTCTCAAACATATTTAACAATACAACTCAGTATACTGAGTATATACTGACTAAGAATGCACTGTAATATTTATGTAGGAAACAGACAGAGCTAAATACCAATTAGTACAAGGATTTTCTGTGCCGTTCCACAGAAGCTGAGCTGCAGTGCCGGAATGATGATTTGCTTCTGTCTTATACAGTTCAGTCATCAGCAAAATCACATCAAAAGACTTGAAATTCACAGTCAAGATGATAGAGGAAGTTTTTCCAACAGTACTAATTTTGGTTTCAAGTTTAAAGTAAAAGGAGGTAGTGCAGTAAGGTTCAACCCAATTTTACTGATGCCAGGTATATTTGCCAGTGGCCTGTGGGTTGTCTTGTAATGTGATATTTGAAGAGGGTTTGTTTCCATCAGTATATGCGTGTAAGAAAACATCAACTGGTCTCCTGGTTTAACATCTTCCCTTTTGTCATACCTGTGAAGAATAAAGAGGCTTTTATTTATATTTCTCACTTTACCTATTAAACAACCCTATTATTGCAGGGGCATGTAGCATTCAAAATGACACAAAAAAGGAACTGTAACATTCTTAGTTATATTTCTTGATTAAATAATTAGTACTAGAGGAGGAAATAGTATTTTTGAAGAGTTCAGGGACTCAGTCATTCCATGCAAATCTTTCTGCTGCTATTGTGATATAAATCAGGATTCCTAGAAAATTTTTTACTAGTCCCCTATTCAAGTTCTGTTGAGAAAGGACACCAAAGCCTAAGACTGTAGGAAACTGGACTAATTTTTAAGGTTTACTTTACCAGAATTGCAGTTTGGATAAGTGTGGATTTTTTTTTGTTTGTGGGATTTTTTAATAATTTTAAAAAAGTACATTATGAGGTACTTTAGCAGAACCGCTTTTCTTCTGGTAGTCATACATTAAAGTAGAAGCCTCAGAGAATAAGGGCGAGAAGACCTCCTTGAACTCTGTAGGAAAGAAAGAACAGTCTGACAATTAGAGTATTAACGTGGCCCTTGTTATTTCTGAGTTCAGCTCCCTGATCTACTACCTATTTGGGCAGGTCACTTTGGGTCAGCTTTTATAAACTTGTTAAAGTACCAAAATATATATAAATTATATATATAAAAGAAATATTTAAAAAGTAACTAGTGAGCTCTAAGACTATTTAGCAGGTACACTTACAGTTATTTCGTAAAAAGACTTATGTTCAACCTAGCTATTGAGGGAGTTTACAGGATGAGAAAAGTGACTTAGCCATTTGGCAGGGATGTGAAAGATCTAGCTTCAGTCACTCTCCATCTGATCTAAGCCCAAAACTGAAGATGATTATCTGTCAGAGCTGTATGAACCTCTCTAATCTTCTAGAAACTGAGATACATCTCCCTCACTGTCTCATGAGGACACTGATCAAATTCACAATAGTTATTTATTCATTCACTGAGGAGAGTTCAGGTGCAATTTACAGCCCAAGGGTCAGGATACTAATACTGGACATGGCAGCCTGATCAAGTCTTCACTCCAACAACTTCAAAGGAGAAAAATGAGAGGAGTCCACCCCAAAACACTCCACAGACCACTGTTAAGCTCTGTAACGCAAGTGAAGAGCAGTGCCCCATTCTTCAGCCTTTCTGTTGCCCTGTTCTATAAACTGTTTTCTATCAGCATTTGTCACTCCTCTTCTTAGGCACCTGACTCCTCCTACACGTTTCACAAGCATCTTACTCAAGGCTGTGGCTTTCCTTGCAGACATGGACACTGGGAAGCAGTGCGATCCCAACCCTACATACCCTTAAATGCACCTAGGATTAAATACAGCCTGCACCTTTGGCAACACATCTTTGCAGGTCTGGGGCTCTCATCTGTCTGAATTCTCTGAAAAAAAAAAATCTCAATTGATATTTTTACAATGCTCCCTGAGATAGCATTCACTAAGATTTAAGATATTTAAAGGAATAACTTCACAGCAAACTAGAGGTTTTGTGTGGATTGTTAACTAAAATTTTGGCAATTCAGAAAAGATCCCAGGCTGACAGAATCCAGGTGTCAATAAATACACCATGTAATGCAGAATTAGATTTTGCACCGGGAATAGGTGCTTTCTTCTTCTAAAACAACTGCATGCTGATCTCACCTGCTATTTCCAAAAATATCACAATATCCCTTTAGGTTGGTACACACATCCAAACGAGCAGAAGGAAAGGCATACTTTGTAACAACTTTACCACCTACTAATTTTGCATTTTCTTCATCAGCAAATAAGGGCCTTTCATCTGGCTGCAAGCATTTCTGAATTTTATTATTTTTAAATACTTTAAGCTTACACAGCGTATTTATTCCTGGTTCAAAGAGACTGCACTAATTGAAGGGAAGATTGTAACACCTGTCCTGTGTAAGAACCTGCATCAAGCTTCTCTCAATCAACCCTTGAAGAAAAATAATGGATCACTTGCATTTTTCTTGAGGCAAACAGATCTAATCTGAGCATGCCACTGAAAGCTGTTAACTTTAAGGCACTTTTATTTATGGATTGGAGTTATCCTGATGAATCATCAGCCTTCACAGCCACCCCATCCACAAATCTGTTTTTGCCTGACATACACTGTCTATGAAGATGGTAAATTAGTTTTCAACCATCTGAACGGCTGTCACTTCCTTGGATAAAGAGAAAATGGACAGTTGGTGCCACTAAACTTTGCAGTACTGTGCTGTTACACACTGTGATAGTCTTGTGTATGATGCTCAGTTGTGGATTGTGCCTAATTTTTTTGATGTGAAACTTCATGATGAATCAGCCCTTCCTTGAGGCTTTGTTTTGCTGAGTAGAGATAAAAGTGAGAGAGACAAACTGCTCTGGAGCTACAACACTATGAAACATCTATCAGTGACAGGGATATTATTCGTTCACCTTCCAATCTCACTACACTATGCCTTACAAGCCCAAAACAACCCAAAACTCACAACCTCAAAAAGCTCGTTGATATGAAGCACTATTTATAGACTAGTGTTGTATTCAGAGTAGTGTGTATATTTAAGTATAGTCAAAAAACCAAAGATTGGAACATTTTAGCTATCATGCATGTTCTACCCCTTGTACTCAGTTTAATGATTTGTGGCTTGAGACTTTCTCTGGATCGAACATACAAAAAACCAAGTTGAAATAAAAACTAGATGGGTAGCTGTGGAGGCTTTAAACTGTCTGTACCATCATGAGAGAGCTTGAAAATAAAATAAGGCACAGCAAGATTGATGATTTTTGTAATTCTTCCAGAAGCATACTTATCCCTTCTTCTGCATTATTTCCAAAGTACTTTTATCTCTAAACATACCAATAATTAAATTATGTTCATCTGATCCTGAATACTGTAACTGGGGAAAGAGAACTTGTTAAAATTTGCTTATATTGCTTTTGTTTTGTGCAGTATGAAGGGAGGCTTTGTATCACTTTCTAGTGAGGCATTTTCATTAAGACAACATTAAATTAGAAATCTACATTCCAGCAGAAGATGTAGGCCTAAGAATCAGAAAGGTGCCTATTTTTTTGGTTTGTATCCTGAAAAGCAAATGATGCCATCCCACAATGTCTCCTACTATCCATTCCAATATTCTGATTTTTAAAACTGTCTATCACTGCTGGTCATAGTAACAAAGCACTCAACAGCCTTCTCTCAGTTAGTGAATGCGTCCACAACAGCAGCTTCAATGTGAAGGATGTTCCACACAGACTTTCAACATTAATATGTACATGAGCCTCACATCACCACACATCATTCAAAGACAAACAAAATGAGAAGATACCCTCACAATTATATAAAATCATCAAGTTCAACCATCAACTTAGCACCACCACCACGTTCACCATTAAACCATGTCCCCAGGTGCCATATTCACTTCCAGAGATGGTGACTCCACCACTTTCCTGAACAGCCTGTTCCAATGCTTGATAACCCTTTCCATGAAGAAATTTTTCCTAGTATCTCATTTAAACCTCCCCTGGACAACTTGAGGCCATTTCTTCTTGCCCTTTGAAAGATTCTATGCTATTTAGGCAAATCAGAACCAATCAAAACAAAAAACAATACTGTTCTGTATTTCTGAAATGGTAGCACTGCAGACACCAAAATTCTCTGAAGATTCACATTGTTCTTGACCCGGCTTAATAAATATGCTGTACCAGAAACAGTGTTTGTAATGTTTGTCTCTGCACATACATAAAAAAGGAAAAAGCAGTCTCCTTTCTTCAGATCAAAATACTTCATAACATACCTCCAATCAGAATTGATTTCTAGAAACCGAGAAACTCCAGTTTGTGCTGCAGCCACATCAATATGAACAGAGACGTCTACATAAATAAAGAAAACAGAATACAGTTTCAACATTCTTCTAAGAGCACTCTTAATAATAAATTAAAAAAAGTAACAAGAAAGATGCACGTAACTAGTATGAAGAAGTAGTATCCAATACATGAAAAGATATACTAACAAAAAAACCCTAAAATTAAAATTAGGTGAACATACCTCAAGACAGCTTTACATACCTGCTGTTGAAGGTACCAACTCATGCAACTTCTGAATTGCCACTCCTCCAGGATAATTGAAATGTGAAACATATAAAGATGTTCCTGAATAAGCAGCATTAACTAGAAGATGCATGATAACAAAGAAAGATCCAAGTTTGTAGAGCCAGGATCTCCGGTAGTTATTCAGACTGTTGAGGAAGGAAAAAACAAAAATAAACTTATTTTCTTTCACAGTGATCATTGACTACCATGACAGAACTGTTATGGAAAATCCATTGCTAGATAATAAAGATTAATGCAAATTTTATTAATCGTGTATGGCATGCATTTATTATCAATTTCTGAAAGATTTAACTTCTAGTGACATTTAAATTAGAATATTCTCATTAATATAGCTAAAACAAGCTCATTAATAAAGCTAAGTATTTCTGTGTTTAAAACCATTAGCTATGATTGTATTGTCTGTCAAATTGTAACAACATAACAGTAAAATCAGGGCTCTATTCTCAACTCTGCTCCAGACTTGCCAAATGGTCCTGTCAAAGCATTTAACTTTTTTCTGTTTCCACTTCTCTCTATGGTTCAGTACATTGACATAGATCTGAACCTCCTTTCTACAGCATGTGAACATCTCAAGGTGATCCAAAGTACAAGATGGGAAAAAGTGCATAAAAACAGTAACGATAATTTGTCCTTTCTTTTGCATTTTCAGAGGAAAAAAACCCAAACCAAACAAACAGAATTTTGAACTTACATTCGTGAGCACATTTTAGCAGCCACTATGTTGAAGACGGGGAAAGTATATATGATAAAACGCAGCTCTTTGTGTGGGAGAAACGAATACAAGAAAATAAAGCCCAGTGCTGGCAAAAGTAAAATCCGAGTTCTCTTTTCTGTTACACCTAAAGGTACAAATACAATGCTGCATCCCAAAGCACGAGGCAGGGCTGAATAGAAATACCACAAGAAGGGAGAGGTCTTCAAGGTGAAAAGGAGAGTTAAGGATGTTTTCACTCTTAACAAGTGAAGTAACTATTCTTTACAGTAGTACATGCAAATTTTGCAAATAAGCAGTATACTTTTTGTACACGCATTTTTCCAGGCCTTTGGTTTCCTGCCTTATCTTTAGAGAACTAAAAGCAGTTGCTTAACATCATTCACATCACCCAACAGAGGCACATCAAATGGCACTAGTGATAGGCAACATGAAAACCCAGGGGGAAGAAACCTGGTTTTACATAGGGAGAACACAAAGAGGCAAGGAGGAACAGTCAGAAGAGTTACAATTTGCAGAAAGATCTAAGGGACAGACATTGTGTCATAAATTTCAAATAATGAAATGATCAGAAGTAGAATTTAGCACCCTCACTGAGTCTCAGGAATAAGTTACATCAAGTCTTTGCTTTGGCTGGTAGTATTATTTTTCCCCAAATGTTTCAAAGGATACTCCCCAGTTGGAACTTTTGTTTAAAACTGTGTTATACCAGAGCACTTTCCCCTCAGGCCACACAAGTTGCCTCCAAAATAGAGAATCCACAGCAACTGTTAGCCCTAAAAGAATTAAAGAAATACAAATGTGCATGAATTAAAAACTAGGAAAAAAGCAAACTAACATATCCAAATAGCACATTTACTGATCAGATCAATATAAACTGAAACATGGATTGTAAGCCTCACCCAAAACCACAGAGAAGGTTGAATATGTCTGTCTTGCAGAAGAAATGCACAGAAGGGAGGCATTTCTTAATAGAAGTCTTAAAAGAAACATGTTACATATTAATCTAATTGGGATTCACCCTACTCCAACCCCAACTGTGAAAAGCAGGGGTTTAGCTGAAGTTTGTTTTAAAACAAATGCTTAGAGTATTAAATGTCCTGAATGGTAAGAAGCCCAAGTTAACTTCAAATAGTACTAAACAATTTTTTATTGTAAAAATGTTAGGTTACAAAAAGCAATCTCTAGAAGTTTGCTACTATTTATTTGGTGGGAGGCAGGAGGAGGATAAGGGATGAAAGGCAAAAAGGGAGAGCAGCAAAACCATCAGCCCGATCTCTTCTACTCCACACCTCCACTGGTATTTAAAGATTCTGCTCAGATAGGAAATGGCAGTGTCAGTGACTAATTCCCATTGGACTTCCAAACTCTTACATCATGAGGTGCCTCCAAATCCACATGGCATGGTCATTTAGTGTTTGTATTGTCCACGCTGTGTAAAGGACAGCACACTGCCAGAGATCATCACATATCTGACAAAAGCACTTTTAATTAGATAGGCTGGCAGAGAAGCTCAGAGTATGTGCATATGCATGGCTCTTCCATGGATGGGGAGAGACAAGGGGATTTTTCAACCTCTCTAGCATGGAGATCACTTAAGCTGTTAAATTAATGTAATAAAGGAACAGAGTTGAACTGTAACTCTCCCCACAACCCTCTTGCTTGGTATCTCTGTCACACCGTTGCATTTTATCCTGGGATTTAGCTTATCACCGTGGCAATAGATACTACAACTGATAACATGCACAAGTAGCTACAGCCAGATACTACTTATACTGAAGTCAACTTGCACATCTAAGCCTCTTTAAGATCAGGACATTATACTGTAAGCATGTAAAGGCAGAGGTCACAGTATCTTTCTCTGCTTCTTGCACATCTATTTCCTCTCAGGGAAAATTTCAAGGAAATAAAAAGTCTTATCATATGACTAGCAAATGGAATCAAACTAAAAAAAATACAAACAATACCAAAACAAAAACAAAAACAAACAAACAAGCAAAAAAAAAAGCAATCAAAAAAAACCAACCAACCAAAACCTCCAAAGCAAACCACCAAACCAACTAAAAAACAACAAAAAGAACTAAAAAAAAAAAAGAAAAAAAAACCTTACAGGACATTTACCAGAGAAATCAGTCAAAACTCCAGACTTCTCTTAAATTTAATGTCATTTGCTTTTTTCCAAGCAAACACTTACCCAGCCAAAAAATTCCAGCAGGAACAGCATGGGAAAGGACCTTGAAAACAGAGATTCTTTTAGTTAATAAAGTCACCAGGAGCATGAGGCCTAAGAATATGCAGAGCTCTGATCTGAAGACTATAATCGCCAAAGCTGAGAACCAAATGAATGGCCTTTGCTTTTGCTGTATCCAAAATGTCAATGCCAGGAGCACTGCAAAAAAAAAAAAAAATAACACACATTGCCCAACATGCTGAATTATTCTTTTTCTAAAGGACAACACTATTCTCAATGCTATCTTCTTCCTCTAACTTCCCACCAATCCTCTCTTGGTCTTCATACCATTTCTAGTCCAGAAATTTTTCCTCTGCTAGAGAAAGGTAATTTGGAATAATGCACAGCTTTACACTTTTGGTGCTTAATTAGGAAAAGTATAACCACAGAAGGAACACATGGGAACTCTTTCTAGACAGTGTATTTAATAGCTTTTGAGGGGGGAAAAAGAAAAACAAACCTTAAGGGAGTACTAAAAGCCTTTCAAAGTATGATTCATAATTAGTATTGCTTGATATCAGCTGAGCAGTTCGTTTATTCTCTTGGCTAAGTATATTCTATTTTCATGATAACAGCAACAGATTTCAAATACGACTATGAGACTACAGACTATTGCTCAGGGAGAAAGAACCACAATTCATTTCAGTGATTAGCTGGAGACACACCATGTCTCTACACACTAAGTTCATAGGTTTTTTTGAACTGCAGGTGTACCTAGTCCCTTTTCAATAGCTCTATGCTTTATGCATTAGATATGTGTACTCAAACCTCTACCTAACCAAAGCCATCTGACAAAACCCACATACACTCAGATTCAATAAAACTCGATTCAACAGTCATTGTAAGCACATGATTAAAATAAAAAGGAAGAAACCTCAACTAAAGTTTTCTAGTCCTGCTATCACACAGTTTAATCAAGCACATGCATTATTTATTCTGACCGTACTTTTTCCATGCTTTAACTATGATGCATTTGAAATAAGTTTTATATTTTAAAATTATTCCCATGAAATACCTACCAAAAGGAAGTGCAAACACATTAGGGAGAGTTCGTGTACAGTAAAACATCAAATGAAACTGAGTGACAGTGATGAGACAGAAAATTGATGCTGTAGTTGCTCCAAACTGTTTTCTAACTTCTTTCTGCAGCTTCCATAACGTGTAAATCACACTGAGCCCCAAGCTTCCTCGGACTATTAGAAGAATAAAAATGGGAATTAAAGAGTAGTATCAGACAGACCAGTGATGAACAGCCATGTTATATAATGTAATGCAAAAAAGTTCTGAAGAATAATACTGAAGATATCACAATATAACCATCTTCAAAGAAACAAAAACCCAAACAAAACTTCATTAGTTTATCTATTCTAATCCACCTTTAACTGTTCTGGTCCTTCTGCACAAAGGTCAATGCTTCTATGACCAAGTTAAATGATATTTTCTGAAGCATACAAGAAACATGCTTCAGAACACACAGGAGTGTATTCTCTGAAGATAATTGAGGCACTTGCTTTTTCTACAGTATCTGACATCTTTTAGCACAGACTTTCCATGTGCTGTTAGTTATCCCCAAAGAGGAAGTGGAACGGCCATGCTGGCCCCAAGTACCTACAGTTTGCAAAATCCCTCAGTGAGGAAAAGAATGTCACATTTTAACAATTTATCCAAACATTGAATGTAACAACGATGCCACCCATTAGTGCGGGAGTAAAAACATCTCTGTTCTGAGGATCTGAAGTTCTCATACCTATCAGCTGGGAGTAAAACTTGGACATTTTTAGCACAGAAAGTACATATATAGCTGGGCTGGAAAGGGCAGCAATAAAAATTGGTCCAAGGAACGTTCTTGGGACAACTCCAGGAAATTCATGATGGTCATACTGCAAAAAGGAAAATTGATGTAAGATAAGCAAATCAGAAACAAAGGAAAATAAATCATATTCACACTGCATTTATCCTACTCATAGTGCAGAGAATTGCCATCTTTAACAGTGTCCAGAAATGAAGACATACTTTTCAATTTACCTTATCCAAGTCCAGTTGGTGGTATACCACATCATGGATAGCTTGTAGGTTAAAGCTTTCCTCCACTTTTGTGAAAGGACACACAGTCAAATGAACAAAAGCCACAACAATAAGCAGCAGCAGCAATGGGAATGCCTGCCCACTTGAGTTCCTCTTCTGAGCCATCTTGGGCTTGAAATTCACAAATATTCTATAATTGAAAAGAAAATAAAAAGAAAACACATTAATAACATTGCAGGAAGTGTAGAACCAAAGAAAGAGATTGATAATGCAAGGACAATGTACTAAAGTAGTGGAAAAGTTTAAACAAAGTGTCACTTCAATTATGTCTGCACTTTGTGGGAGAGACAACTTTGTTATTTATTCTCATTTTAATCACACACTGGATTTACACATAATCTTAAGAACGTGCTCTCTTGTTTGTCCAGGACTACAAAATCAGTGGGAGAGGAACCACGAGGATGAGGAATTTCTCAGAACAGAGTACTTTGATCTTCCGAGTTTGCCGGCAGCAAGGTCTGGACTCAGCAAGCGAAGGACGAATCCCCTCTGGCACTTACACCCTGTGTCACTACGGCATCAGACAGTCTGAACCCCATCCTTCACACTTCTACCCAGAAATGAAGGCCACCTCTCCCTGGTGCTTTATTTCACAACACTGCTGAGCCATTCTTCTGGTAGTATTTACATTGTATTTTATCATTATGATAAAATCATGTGTCCAGGTGATACCAGAGCAGATCTATTTCATGTTCTTTTAATTTAAGCTTCCCACTTAAAGTTTATAATTTAATAAAAGACAAGAGATTTTGGTTATTGTTACTCTTGCTCTGTTCTCACAGAAACAAAACTACAAAAATAGCACTTTTAAGGTACAATTGGAGTTTTGGTTAGAGATGTTTTCTCCTGTGTTTTGGTCTAAATATGTCCATCAAACAGATGTAAGATAGCTGGCAGATTTCCTAGGATCACTTAGCAACTGCTTCCTAGAGTTACCTTTTTTCTGAACTGATGTTTGTGCTGCTCATTAGTAAAAATAAATACAAGTATGTTCATGTTCCTTATATTTACAATTAACACCAATAATGCCTAAAATTTGCATTCTTCCTGCATGTATCTGCATATTATTTTACATATCTCACTGACTGCATCTCTTTTTCTTTGATAGCCTCTGCTACAGACTGTTATTGAAGCTCTAAGCCTAGGCTTAAAGACAGGGAGCTCTGTATTACATCCTTACGATTTTTGCTTTGTTCTGCATTTTTAAAAGCCTACACAACATAACATCCCAGAAAGTGGTAATAAGTCTTTTTAACCTGTGCATAATATTACTTCCTTAAAAAAATGGCTAAATATGGGTTACACAACAACAGAATCCTTTTTCCACAGCAGTAGTAAAGAAGGTACAGGACTGACATGAGGAGCACCTCCAGAAGTCTCTGGCAGGAATTAAGCCTCTGCACAGTGCCATTAATCTTGCACAGACTCTAGAAGGCAATCTTGGTCAATTCTTCCAATAAATGCAGAGGCATCTAATGTTTCTGGCCAAACTTACCAAGGACAAAAATGGACACTGCAGGGTCAATCCACCACTGCACAAAGCAACGTGGGCATTTGAGTAGCTTATGTGTCAGGCAGAGCAGCACATAGACATTCACCAGCAAGGCAGGTATTCCTCACTCCCAATTCACAGCTTCTTAATATTTCAGATATTTTAGGACCCAAAAAAATCTTTGTAAAATGACGCATGTGCCAAAAAGCTGTATTTTTTCCTTCTTAACTACCTAAGTTTCATAAGAGCTTTTACCTTCCCCTATAAATACTACATTCATTATCCTCTGACTACTCTACAATATAGCCTGTTCCTGGTATCTTTAGCTGATAACCACCTGAATAATCAGTCCTCAACTTCCTAAATCAAAATGAAAGTGAAGCTATATATCCCACAACGCAGTTTATCACAAAGCTTTTTTTATCTTGTTGACTCCAATCCTTTTGTATGCTTGAAGAAAGTAAGCATGCCAGCACACTCGTACATCTTGAAGATAATTACATGCATTATAAATACTGAGATTCCCTGAAGGAAAACATGCTTGATGATAGAAAAACCAAAGCACAAAGACAACAGCCAAGTTTCTAAGATAAAGCCTAATAAATTCAGTTGTCTTGTCAAGACTCAAGATAACTTGCTCTGCTGAAAATTGATGCTGACAAGCCTCAAAATTCAAGTGGAATTTATCTAGACAGGTAGATACTGAATTTGATGATCAAAATAAATTTTTGATATAAAGGCAAAATACTTGCAATTATTTTTATTTTTTTAAATGCCAAACCCACAGAAATAGATTTCACTTACTTAAAGTATTTTAATAATGAACTTTAGAGGAATAATTGTAAGCAAATACATATAGTTTTCTCCACTGTTAACATTCTGACAACTTCAGAAGAATCCTCCTCAGGTCTCTAAAATGTACCCACACTGACTTCCCCCAGATGCCTACATCATGACCAAATCACAGAAGAGCAGCAATTCTTCAACACAAAGAATTCATCTCTTCATGGGATTAAACCGGGTGAAAAAAAATGTTTTTTTACTTAAAAAAAAAAAGGCTCGTTAAAAAAAAAAATGGTTCGTTGTTGTTCTATACTTTTTCAGCGGAAGTGCCATTAGTTCAAATGGACTTTTTACTCTTCCCATGAAAAATCTACCATATTTAGCTCATTTATGTTTTTCAAACATTCTTCGCTATAAATATGATAGTATGGTAGCCAAACTGCATGTTAAATCTGTCTACAGAGACTCATTTCACTCCCTCACACAGAGGCATCTAAGCAGAACCACAAAGCGCATCCCACCATAAGGTCCTCCCTCTTTGGCTTGATCTTGCTTTGGCAAAGCCTATGTTGTATCATCTTAAATTTTCATGTTTTTCTTTCCTGTGCTTTAATAACTCTTAGTTTGCTCTGAAGCTAACTTCTCAATGAGGTCAGATTTAAACTTTGTAGTTGCTGGGATTGCTTTTTCATCTTTTCTTAGAAAAAACTGAAGTTACTATTCTTTTATATACTTACTCATAAGTTTGGGGATTGGCTAAAAAAAAAATAAAAGAATTAAGACAAAAAGAGAAGAGAAAGTTGAGGCAAGAAACGAAGTGTGGGACGGCGCCAGACACGAAGCTGCGATGAAGCTGTGGAGCAAATGTCACTCACTGTTCGGACCGGGAAGAAACACACAGAACGGGACTGAAAAATATGCAAACCCAACCCAAGGACCCTCCCCGCGCCCCCACCGCCATCGGGGCGCCCCGGGCTCCTCAGGGGACATCCCCCACACCGCCCGCTCAGGCCGGGGTGCGAGGGGCTTCCGGGGGAGTCCCGGACGACACCAAACACCACCCGCTACTCCTGCAGCACCGGCGCCGCCCCCCAGGCCGCCCCGGCTCTCCGCGGCAGGGGCAGGGACAGGCACCGCGCACACCCCTCAGGAGGCGGTTGCCCCGCGCTGCCCGGCCCCTCTCCCTCCCTCCTGCCACAGCTCCCGCGCCCGGGAGGCGGAGAGCTGGGGCGGCCGCCTGGCAGCGCCCGGCGGGGCTCCCGGGAACGCCCTGTGTGCCGGCTGCAGCCGGGCTGTGGCAATGGCAGCCCCGCTCCCGTTTGGTCGGTCGGTCGTTCCCTCCCTCCTTTCCGCCTTCCCTTCCTCTTTCCCTCCCGCAGCCCCGGGCAGTGCCCGCAGCCCGGCCCAGCCCGGCCCAGCCCGCACTCACCGCGCGCGCGCCCGCGTGGCCGCCCCGCGCAGGGCGCCGGCAGCGCGCGAACAGCCGGGCCCGCCCCGCGAGCACGTGACCCGCTCCCCGGCCGGCCATGTTAGGTGAGGGCAGGGCACGCCCCGGCAGCGAAAGATCTCCGAGGCGGCGGCTGCCGAATACAAATGGCGGGCGGGTTCGAAGCCCCTGAGGATTCCGCGCCTGCCCGTTCTCACGATGGCGGCAGCGGCGCCCGAGGCCCAGTGCCCACCGCTCCCTCAGACGGCTCGGCCGCGCCCCCCGCTCGGCTCGCCTGGCACGCGGGGCGCTCCCATTGGCCCGGAGCGTGGCGGGCGCTGATTGGGCCACGTTCATCTGCTCCCGCCAGCTCCACCAACGAGCGCACGCGGCCGGGGGGCGCGTGCGGCTGACGCGGAAATCTGAATGGGGCTCGCGCGGCGGCGCTGAGGGGGCTCGGCTGGGGCCGCCCCGCTGCGCGTCCCGGGCTACCGAGCCCTCGCCATGGGGCCCGGCTCCTCTGCTCGCCCGGGCCCTGCGCCGCGCCCGGCCCGCGCCGCCTTGGCCGTGCTGCTCTGCCTCGCCCTGCTGCTGCTACTGCTGCTGCCGCCGCCCGCCCGCGGCGCCGGCGAGCGGCGGCGCCTGGCGTGCTCCACCTGCCGGGGCATCGTGGACAGGTTCAACCAGGTGGGCGGCGGGGCCGAGCCGGGGGTGGTCGGGCGGCCCCGCCGTGGGACAGGGGGCCTGCGGAGGCCCCACCCCGAAGGGCAGCGCCGGTCCCTGGCCCGGCCGGTTCTGCGCCGAGGGCCGCGCTCCGGGAGCGCCTCCGCCGGGGCCGCGTCCCTGGCAGTGCCTGGGCGAGTGACGGGGCCGCGGCGGGTCCTGCTCCGGCAGCTGTCGCGGTGCTGAAGCGGGCGGGTGGCAGAGCTTCTTCAGCTCTGCAGCCCAAAGTGTTTTGGTGCTGGCCGTGCTCAGGTGGAGCGTGTCCGGCTTTGCGGAGAGTGCTGATGGAAAACACCATCACCAACCTGTTGTCACCTGCAGCAGCCCTGTGACAGAGGACATTCGGCGTGGGCAGCGAAGGGCTGCTGCGCCTTGTGACAAGGTGCTTGATGCTGTCGGTACGCATCGGGTGCTGCGGGCTCGATGGTTCACTTCAGCTGCGGAGATTTTTTGTGCGAGTTGTGATTTGGTGGCACTGGCTGTGGCTGGGGACAACTGAGTGATCGCCCCGTTGTACCGCTGGGCGTTTAAGTTACAACACGGCGCAGGCTGGGCTAAGCGTTATCAAAGCTGGATGAAGTAGCGGTCCTGTTCAGCTGATTATAATAAAGTTTCTGAGAACTTAAAGGAGAAGGGTATAAAGTTTCATACTTGTATGGGTTTTTTTGTAAATCGAGACTGTATCAAGGCCTTGTTTATGCATTAGGAAAATTAAATCATGTTACATTGTAACATACACTTTCTCACTTCTCATCTTGTCCTTAGCTGTTTCTTTCACTTAGCAATTTGATCAGCAGCTTCAGAGCTTTGCTGAAGTTTCTGCATGGTGCTTTTCACAATTTTTATGTAAGCATTTATTATTGCCCTTAATTTTTGTTAAAAACAAACCTTACGTAGTTTTTGGTACTTTTTATTTGTAGGGTTTAGCAGATACAGCTAAAAAGAACTTTGGTGGTGGAAACACTGCTTGGGAAGAGAAGACGCTGTCAAAGTATGAGTCCAGGTAAGCTGTCTTAGTACTTCTCATTCAGCTACGTTTTGTGTCCACTGTATGAAATGTCACTGTACAAGTGTTTGTCTGGAATTTAAATATTGAACTAAAGTTTTGCTTGACCAAGCCTTAAATTCTTCATTACTAAACTGTTACATTACATTGTAATGTAAAGATTACAGTAAAGACTAAAACCTCTTATTAATGCCTTTATTTGTCTTGTTTCTAAAAACAACAAAAGTTAATTCTGCCATTGGTCATAGTAGTTTTTTTCTATTTACTCATTAAAGTCCTAATAAAGTAATCCTAAATAATGGTCACTAGTTTACTGATAATCATAAAAGGTGCAGAGTACTGCAGTACTTGTTTTAGAATTAAAGCAGTATCTCCCCCCTAGAGTTGTCACTATTTCAGTGCCAAACAGAAAACAGTTTACTGTACTCATATATATGTATATTTATATCTATGTTTGATTACAGAGCTAAGTAATCTGATGTCTTTCTCCTAAATTTCAAATTCATTTTTTATCTTAGTTGGAGCATTGAGATGTTACTGTGAGCTTCATGGGCTTCTATCAAATATTAACAGTACATGAAATTTATTGTTGAACATAAGGGAAGAGTACTGCACTCCAGTTTTCTGGGAAGCTAAAAATCTATCAAAGCTACAATCTGCAGGCATAATAAATGCAAGTAAGCCACGAGAGCCTCGTGGTCATTCTTCTGTTTTCTTTTTTGATTGAAGTAACGTTCTTTATTTTGATATTTGCTGTGTTTTGGAACTAAATCAGAACACACCATAAACAGATGAAATTTTCTAGGCTGAAGTCTGACTGCTCTGTCATGGCTTGAATTGTGTTGAATGTTTAATTTAAACTTACAGCTTTCCTTCTCTGCTTGTAGCGAAATTCGTCTTGTAGAAATCATAGAGAATCTGTGTGATAGTAGTAACTTCGAATGCAACAACATGGTAGAAGAACATGAAGAACATATAGAGAAATGGTGGTTCAAATTGTAAGTATAATTTTTTTGGTAGAGATCTCTGTGTGAATAAGCTATCTAAGAGGATTAACTACTAACATAATCTTGTGCCTGAACAATAGCAATATGGGTAATTCTTCGTTATTCATCAAGAGTTGGCATTGGGTACAGCTGGGTTCAAGTGACTTTTAGTATCATGTGCTGCTGCACTGTGTTCTTTTTGATTTTCAATTCCAGCAGTGTTGCACCAAAACATCCAGTCTCACTTCTCATACAGTGTGTACTCATTTGCCAGTGGAGTGTCAAGGCAAACTAACTTTGGAAAACTGTGAGATTTAGTCCCTTATTTGTTTCCTTTTGTCATAAAACTGCAATTCTTTGATTCTTGTGGGGTTTTTGTTTGTTTGCTTTTTTTTCCCTGAAACTGTTTTGTTCTTCTGGCAATCAAAAGAATAGTTGATGCTAACCAGTGTAGAAGTCGGATCTCTTGAAAGTGGTAGAGTTGCAGCTAACTTTTCTATCTGCCTTTTAAGCTAACCAGTGATTTTTGTTGCAACAGAAATCTGTTATAAGCTTTTCATACACCAGTCTAAAATGTAATTAGTGCAAGGATGGCAGTGTAGCATTTAGATCTTTAATATCTGTTTTTTTATTTCCGTAATCATGTTTCTTCTAAGTATTTTTTCACTAATTTAGACTCTCAGCATTCCCAATTAGCTAAAATTCAGCAGGGTGAACTGCCATTATAACGTTTCGTAACTGGATAAGGCTTTTTAATAATCCACTTTCTTCCTAAAGAATGCTTTATCCTTTTCCCTAACTATACAGGATTGTGTATACGTTAACATGTCACTTGAAGGGAATAGAATAGAATAGCAGAGCATAGAATAGAATATTTCAGCTGGAAGGAACCTGCAGTGATCAACTAGTCCAACTGCCTGACACTTCAGGGCTGACCAAAAGTTAAAGCATATTATGAAGGACATTGTCCAAACACCTCTAAACACTGACAGACTTGGAGCATCGACCTCCTCTCTAGGAAGCCTCTTCCAGTGTTTGAGCATTTTCTTGGTAAGAAATGCTTCCTAATGTCCAGTCTAAACCTCCCCTGGTGCAGCTGTGAACAATTCACGTGTGTCCTGTCACTAGGTACAAGAGATAAGGGATCAGCACCTCCTTCTCCACTTCCCCTCAGTAAGATGCAGAGAGCAATGAGCCTTCCAGAAACGTAAGCTATGCAACCCAGAGTCTTGAATTTGGCTTAAATTTGCAGAACTGAAAGAAACTGGTCTTACACTAGAAAACTTGACAAAGTAGACTTCCTAAAATAAACAAAACCATTCATAAAATTGGGGTTTGGCAAGTTTCTGTATTTAATAGGCCTTTTGAGTGTAATTTATTATTTTATTTTGCTCTTTAACTTGCAGATGTTTCTGTGGTAGTTTCCAAAAGACAATTTCTTTGTCCATAAATGCCTTAGGTCTTTTTTTCACAAGTTGTTATTTAAAGGGTGGTCGATCACTGGAACACGTTCCTCACAGCACCAAGCCTGTCAGAGTTCAGGAATCATCTGGAGGACACTCTTGTCATATGATTTAGTGTTAGGAAGTCCTGCAAGGAACAGGGAGCTGGACTTGATGACCCTTATGTGTCCCTTCTGAGATATTCTGTGGCATTCAGTAAATTTACTTTTCAGGGTCTGAGCCTTAGAGTTGATATGGATAGATGTAATAGCTTAGAAAGAGAAGCTGTACATGCCTTGGGAGTTGCTGAATACTCTTGTTAGACTACAGAATATCTATATCTTTTCTTAAAAAGTTTTTGAGACTTCAGCATCAACAATACTGAGATCTATGAATTGTCATTCAGAACCCTAGTAGTCCTCATAATTGCTTGCCAAATTATATCTAATGATTTCACTGTTAACTGGGGGAGTATGCTAGTTCTCAAGTAGCACATAACTAACTTCTTAATATTAAAAAAAGAATCCTTCTAAAATAATATTTGATTAATGCTAAAAAAGAGGAGAAATTTTAACCCTGTCGTCAAGTTGCCAATACTTTGAGCAAATGTTAATATCTGTCCTGGGTTATCTTCTGTATAGCTGAGATAAAGGCACAGCATTTATCTTTAAGAGAAGACATAAATAATACACTGTAAAGTGAATATAAACCTTCCCTAAAAGTAAGGTGTTAATAAGTTGTGTATGTATGAAGATGAATTGATTTTATTTGTTGCTCCTATTTCACATTTTTCTTAAATATAAACTATAAAACTTGGGTAGAGTTTGTTAATTGTGTTGTAGCTTAACAGGTAAATGTTCAAGTTGAAGGACTTCTTCTAGAAATTGGTTCTTGAAATAGGATCATCTTCAGAAGAAGTAGGTTTCTAATCTGTCATGTGGAATAGATTTCTCTCCTTTGTTGTGCTGGGTCAGTTGTGCGAGTTGGCCTTTAAAGAATCTTTGTTCTTTTTGTTTATAAATTAATGTCTTTCATATACAGAAAGAAGAAGTATCCTGATTTGTTTAAGTGGTTTTGCATTGAAACAATAGAAGTTTGCTGTCCTGCCGGAACTTATGGACC